TTATTTTTTTTAATTTAACATATATCAGGGAATTTATAATTAGCTTTAAAAAATAAATTTAAAATTTGAACGTATACGGCAAAAATCGTTGTTAAAATTATCTGGATCAATGTCTTATGTTTTATTATATTTCTAACATAAGACTTTTTTTATAATTGTGCAAACGTGCAGATCAGAGGCGTAAACATATTATTAAAGTTATCAGACGATAAACAAGGAAAAACAGAATATTGCATGAAAAAAAGATACATATCAATATCTTGCTTATTATTTATTTATTTGCTTTTTGTGTACGCGAACATCGTAGCTTATCAAAAATCTTTCTCCGGTAACTCTGATTCATGAAAAAATTCATATTGATAGCATTTAATTTTGACAGAATAAATCATACAATTCGATACAGTCCTACTAAACAGAGTACGCTAGTACGATGAGTACTCTAAGTTCGCTAGTAATATTTTATAAATCAATGCAATTAAACTTCTTTTTGTATGTTTTTCTACTTCAGTTTAACATATTGAAATATATTTTAAATAAATTTTGATTTCAGGTTACGGTTTTATCCTTTGATCCCGATTTAATTTAAATTAAACATGTTAAAATGTCTCTTTTTGAATGTGCAAAATATTTACAAATGCAATTAATTTAATATTTGATAATATTTAGATGTAAGTCTTTAGTAAGTAAGATTGAAACAAAATAGTAATCGAAATTGGTGTATTAATAATCTTTAATGCGTTGAATTATGGATGTTATTTTCTTTCAAAATATCGCTAAAAACAAATATTTGAAGCAAATATTGCAAAATATTTTTTTAAATAATGTTTATTAAGTTGTACATACATAAATAAACAATCTAAATGCATTAAATAACATAATTTTTCTAACGTACTCTAAAGTACTCTATGTACTCTAGCGTATCTGTTTAGTAGTACCCAATTCGATAAATTATTTTTTAAGAAAATAGACCAGGTGGTCGATCTACTTATAATTTCATTTCCGCAAATAGAGTTACTGTTTATATTTTGACAATCACTTTCTGCTTAACCGTGATATAATATTTTATTTATTTATTTCATTATTTATTAATAAATCAATTTTTTCATTCATGAAATACGCTATTATTTTTTTCCTTCTACGCCTTAATATTTTTTATATTGATGACAAAGAAAGGGATAACAGTTTATTTTCTCTTTTCGGTTGAATTAATCTTATTTTTATTAAAAAAACAAAAAGAGACTCGGAATAGCTCAGTAGTTTCTTTGTATAGTAAAGATAAAAAGCGAGGGTTTCCGAATAACACAAAAAAAAAATAAATAAACCTGATAAACTTTAAATAAACCAAAACCAAAAACGGAAAACAGATAAAAAGCAAAACCTGATAAACGGAAAACACGATACGATAGGATACAGCACATACGATGGGTCCCGGGAATCATGGGATACCGACAATAGAACCGATGAATTGTAAAGAATAACGATGGGGTATGATTATTTTTGTTCTTTATGACTAAATGCTTTTTTGAAGCTATTTCCCTTTCAGCTGGTTTTAAATTTTAAATTGAATGTTTTAATGTCAATGTTATTGATAAGTTGTAAATTTTTGGTATATCATCACCTATCCTATTCGACCCGCCGGCACACAAGGTCCCTTTTATGCAGACACAGACGTTTTAATCGTTTGGAGAGATGACATAATGGAATATGTATAATACCGAAGAATTAGTTTGATTTCAATTATAATAAACATGAGTCAGAGTGTAGGTTAAATGAATGAAAACGTGCTATGATTTACTTTAAATCTTTTTTCCACGGGGTCTAATTCCACAAGATTTCTGTTTTAAACCGCAGGAGAAAATTGCGGATTTTGTGTCCATATACCTTACATTTGTATTAAATAGCTTACAAATTTCCGCGGATTATTTGTGACCGCGCATGTAATTAATACCACGCGGAAAAAAGTCTTCTAATAATTAAGATTTTATTCAAAGTACACAATAGTACTGTTACAGGGATATTTCCCTCCACCTTTTACTGTAACCCCTTTTCCCTTTGTCACATTGGGGGAAATTTTTAAAAAGGCAAATTCAAGATCCGTTAACTCAATACAATTGAGACTGGGGGGAATTCAAAACGAGGAAAACTTTTAGCAAGGGTAAAAGAGCGAAAATAACAAAGAAGGAAAACATCCTTGTTTACATTATGCTATCGTAAACTATTAACCAGCATTTATCAATGGTAGATATCTGTATTGAATACTTTGTCATTCTCATGCTCTTCACTGGAGAACTTACATTAGATTTAATACCTCTGGATTGAACACCATTGATGTGCATTATGGATATTTTGTCACTGTGAGGAACAGTAGTGAAAACAAAGTTTTACACTATCCTAGTACATACTTTTTTTTAATTATAATCATTTCCTGTGGTTTGTCTTTGACAGGTTGAGGTATTACAGATTTAATAAAAGTCACTCATGAGTAGAATTTTGTGTAATAACATATTAGTTAAATTTAAAGAAATCGTCAATTGTTAACCTTGAGAAATTTATTTTTATAGAAACAGACATACAAAGACATCAAAGCTTGGTTTTCAAATGCATTGGTATATGTTCCTTGTCTATCCACATATTAGATTATTGCATGAGGGAATACCCTGCCCCAGGGACCCTTCGAGATCCTGCAAATTAATATAAATTGTAAAGTGTATTCTGATTGGCAACAAGTGATAAATAATAAAATAATATGAAATAAAAAAATAACATGATATTTTGATGATTACATAGTATTCCACTAACTGAAAACATATCATGCTGATGTAATATATTCTTACAACAAAGAATCCATACGTCCCTCTTCGTCTGGTAGTTCATGTTGGTCTTCATTCACTGTAAAATATTTTTAACACTTAAAAACAAGCAAATAATAAATTACGTTGTTTCCATATTTTAACGCATTGTTACTATTAATTTGAGTCTAAGATATAATAAAATTTGAAAGGGGAGGCTGAGATTGTTTCATACGCTTTGTCTATTCGAATTTTTTTTCTTAAATATATTTATCCATAATTGACAATGTCGAATCCCTACATTCCAAGATAGCATACTTCCATGTATATTTAATTAGTATGCATTTCCCCCGTTCATGAAATGAACCATTCTTAACCTCCCGAGCCCTCCATTTTGTACATCTTCATATATTATTAAAATATATTTACATGAACTCTCCATATATAAGATTGTATTATTGTGCTATCATAGAAACATTGTTTTTGTATTGTAATTATAATTGTAGTGGAATTTTATCTCATTTGTATCGTTTACATAACTCTACTGAAAGAACAAAACATCATGTTGAAATTAACTTTCAGATTTGAAATTGGAATAGCTACATTTCACTTATTTTCATTGACTAGAGAAAGGGAGGTAGAGAGCAAGAGAGAGAGAGATGCTTTTTAATAATATTTACACAGCGGAATCCCACGCCCTAACCTTTGTGCCGCTGTGAGTGACAAATAAAGTTGCATATAGATCTAACGATAAAAAAAATACATATATAGATTTGAAGATATAAACACACATCTATATATCTAAAGATATAAACATACACCTTTTGATCTAAAGATATAAACGTGCATATATAGACTGAAAGATATAAACATATAGATATAGACCTAAAGATATAAACATACACATATAAATCTAAAGATATAAATGTACACATGTAGATGTAAAGATATAAACATACACATTTAGATAAAAAGATAAAAATGTACACATATAGGTCTAAAGCTATACACATGTAGATCTAAAGATATAACTGTACACATATAGATCTAAAGATATACACATACACATATAAATCTACAGATATAGACCTAAAGATATAAACATACATTTAGACCTAAAGATATATAACATAGGGCTGTGCAATATATCCGGTATATTGCGGAATCATCCACGGCGATAATATCTCGCAATATGAAAGCCAGATACCGAGTATTTCACGATATTCATAACTATGTATACTGAAAGGAAAAGAAACGCAGGATAGCATAATTGTCAATAAAAAAATTGACCACATGACCGAAAATTACAAAAATTGGCCAGATGGGAAATTTAGTTGCTGTGCATCAAAATCAGTATTTAGAATTACTCAACCTTAAAATTGATGACGTCACATCGGGAAAATCTAAAAAGCCCCAAAACACGAGCAATTTGATAACGACGTTTATTTAAAATTAAAACATTGCTGTGGCGTCATGCCTTTGTTCTTGCTGTCTAAAAATTTACCTGTAGCCGTCCGATAATAATAATTACCAGTCTGATAATATATTATCGGACGGCAATGATAACAATATCGGACGGTATTTAAAAAACAAAAAGAGGTTAAATATGTCCAGAAACCCCCAATAACAATGTCAGGAAAAAATTCAGAGAAAGCAAACGCAAGGAATTTAAGTTGCTACAAAATAGCAAATCCATGAAAAAAATCCGAGTTTAAGCATTCCACAACATTAATACTTTCCACTCTTTACAAGAATTTTTGATACAGCACTTTGACTCAGCGAATTTAAATCCATTTATGAAAAAGAGTCTGCAAGTCTCCTTGTTTTATGTTTGTTCCCCGATGGCCACACTTTTAAAACCTGAGAATATTTCCATTATCTAAATTAAAACTTCAGAGTAAAAATCCGCATTTTTACTTCCATGGTGATGGTTATAATATCACACAAAATTATGTCAGCATCAATGTCTATTTATGCACATCATAAAAAAATCCCCCCCCCCAAAAAAAAAAAAAAATCTTTAACCACCGGATCACTGTCCTGCTAAACGAAACGACTGCAATTGAATGAATGAAATGAAAGAAGAGTTCACTCACTTTTTTACTGTCTCATCTCTTTTATCTACTTATCAGACGGGTAGAAAACAATAGATGCCTAAACTCCCATTGTGTTATTATTGGACTTCTCCAGGTAACTTTTGGACATTTAAATGGCAATGTTTTAAGTAAGATATATGCCTCATACTATTCTATATGTAAAATTATCAGACAGTTTTCGGCCCTAACGGGCCTCAAACAGTCTGATAATTTTACATATAGAACAGTATTCGGCATATATCCATTACGTAAAGTGTTATTATGTGTGCAATAAATGTCTTATCACCCCCTTTGAAACTTATAGATAAATTCAAATACTCTTTGAACTTGACACCATTTTAAACTTTCTGCACAAATGTATTAATGTTAAATAATCTACAATATATCCCAATATATTGCAATATTCAACATAAAATATTGCAATATATCGCCATATGGTTTTAACTCGCAATGCCTAACTCTAATAAAACATACACATATAGTTCTAAAGAAAGAAACGTACACAGATAGACCTATCAATATAAACATACACATATAGATCGAACAATATAAACATACACAGATCTAAAGATATAAATATACACATGCATGTAGGAGTTAAACTGTTAAGATCATGTTTTTAGATCAAGATAGACTGACTACAATATCTATTTCTTATAAAATATATTGAATACTTTGTTGTTTGTGTTTTTGTGTCTTAAGAAAAACAGTTCTCACAATACCGACTTAAAATTAAAATCGTTAAATAATGGGGCATACAGACGCATGTCGTGTGAGATAATTTTGATGACTTAGTTCCGGGCTCTTCCAAAGGTGTCAAAACATATTTAAGACCTCTTATCTTTACTGAGCACGATAAAATGGAATTGAATCTTGACTCTGTGTTTGAATGCAGCACGAACCCCACCACACCACTTTAGGGTCAAGATCTAGTAAATGAGAGATGCCTACAGATTTATCAAATTTTAGAAATAAATTCCTTTAATGATGCTTTATAACTTTAACTTGGTAAAATAAGGTGTTTCGGGGCATTATTTGTAGGTAAACAAGATGAAAAATCATATTTTAAACTGTCATTTCCAATGAAAAATTAAGAAAACCTGTCATGAATATGGGAGTTTTTTTCCATATCACACAAAGAAAATGTATCCAGATTGCCTACAGTCTTTTAGAAAGCGGTAATTTGTATGTTTTTGGCCTCTTTTTTAAAATAATGTTAAATTAAACATAGGTATCTTGACCACCTTTCATGTTATTTCCAATCGAATTCCATGAAAACAAAACTTTATTTT